GGAGGAAGAACGTGCACACATGGTGAAGGTGTCGTATGCCTCAGCAATCGGAAGTCTGATGTATGCCATGGTTTATACCAGACCAGATATTGCTCAAGCAGTGGGAGATGTTAGCAGGTACATGAATAATCCAGGCAAGGTACACTGGGAAGCAGTCAAATGGATCCTCAGATATCTATGGGGTACCACAAACAAAGCACTTTATTTCAAAGGTGGAGATACGATACTGACAGACTATGTAGATGCTGACTTAGCCGGAAATGTTGACATCAGAAGGAGCACTACATGGTATGTCTATACTCTAGGAGAAACCGCAGTGAGTTGGGTTTCTCAACTACAGAAGATAGTTGCTCTCTCCACAACTGAAGCAGAATATGTCGCTGTTACGGAAGCCAGTAAGGAGATGGTTTGGCTCCAAAGTTTCTTGGAAGAGTTAGGCAAGAAACAAGAAAATAATGTCTTGTATTGCGACAGTCAAAGTGCTATACATCTAGAAAAGAATCCGTCTTTTCATTCCAGGACAAAGCACATACAATTTTGATATCATTTTATCCGGTCTCTTCTGGAAGATGGGATTTTGAAACTTGAAAAGATCAGTGGAGCTCAAAATCTGGCAGACATGTTGACAAAGACGGTGACTACAGACAAACTGAAGTTGTGTTCAACTTCAGTTGGCATGCTAGAGTAACAAGACTAGAAAAACATTTGCATTGATCGAGGTGTGAAGACAGATTAAAATCAGTCTTCAAGTGGGAGATTGTTGAAAGTATTAAAATGGTTTTCAAGTTTGGTAACAAACTTTGAAAAAATGGTTTTCAAATTTTGGTAAATATTTCTTTGAAAATGGTTTTCAAAGTTTGGTAAATGTTTCTTTGAAAAATAGTTTTTCAAAGTTTGGTAGATGTTTGTTGAAAAATGATAATGGGATAATCATAATTAATACCTAGGCTTTAGGGTATTTACAAGATTAAGTCCTTAAGTTTTAACTATAACAACCCTAGCTCATTTAGCTTCAAAACCATCCCAAAAATCATTTTCTTTCTCCCAATACTAGAGAGCTTTCTTGTGAGTAGTGAGTGTTTTGTAAACACCTGTAAATTTTCTCTCTTAGTAAAAGATCTGCAGCAGTCCGGAGACGTAAGCACAATTGGTTGAACTCCGTTATCAATTTCGGGTATTATTTTTCGTTTTTATTTTGCATTCTCACTAATCTGGTTATAGGGAAATTACTTGTTACTCGTTTATTTCCCAACACTCAAACCCTCCCAAACTCCCATATGATCTCATAACCACAATCTTCTTTTGTCTTATGCCCACCATATTCTTTTTTACATTTCCTAGCATAACATTGTTATCATTTGCATGTAATTATTTCATTGTAACACGAATTATCAAATTTAGAATACAAGTATAAAATAATTGGGATGATTGTCACGAATTATGAATCAACACATGAAAGTATACACATATCACCAGAATCATGCTTTGATAGAATTCATTTTCATAATATATATTCAAAAAGTTGCATAGTCCTCCATCAGTAAGATCAAATAAATAAATACATATAATCCTCGAATAGTTAATCTACGTCGCTAAAATTGTATAATATAAAAATATCATATGTATGAGGTATTTTTATCATACCATAAAAACTAGGATGTAAATAGTTGGCCTACCTGCAAAACTGACTGAAACTGATTTGAGTCAAAACTATTTGTGAACCGGGTGGTTGTTATCCGAAACCGATTCGAGTCTGAACTAGCGTTGACTTGAACCCGAGTTGGACCTAGAAATTGTGGATATGAACCTGATATGCATCCTGTGAGAACGTCTTGGACCCGAATTGAACCAATAATATGATAACCGAACTCGACCTGCATCGGACTGATATGAACCTAAATACAAGATTAATCGGTAAATAATTGGTATTACTCGATCTGTTATCAACTTGACATGTTATGAACCTGGCATGTAATTGACTCAACCTGTAAATGATCCGACTTGTTATTGAATGAATTTGATATTTACCTAACTTATGAGTTACAATTGATGAAGTTGTGAGTTTCTAAATTTATAATAAACTATGAAAATTAATATATATTGAAAACTCAATCTTATTATATTAGGTCATTACAATATATACAAATAAATATTACAAAAAGTAAATCCATTACAATTAAATTTCTTAAGCCCAAATACAAGTCCAATCTATGTTTTGAAATTTGAAAAGTTTGATCATAATTTGTTTTTTGTTTTGCCACCTATGCCTTCATTTTTGGAGGAAATCTTTGATTTTCTTTTACTTAAGGGATGAACAAACAATTAATGTGGTGTAACTTTTAAGGAAAACATTGATTGGTTTGCCACCTCATCAATCTATGTATAATGTATGTATATGCTTTTTAATTTAGTTTTTTGATAAGTATAATTTTTTTTATTTTTACTTTAAAAAAAAAATAAATTTTATTAGTCGTATTGTAATGTATATTATATATACATGCATAAGTATATAAATATATATGTATAAGTTTATATGTACTTTTATATACATATATGTATATATATATATATATACACATTATATCATAATCTCCAAACCCTATAAATTTTTTCACCAACTTTTTAAATAGATGCAATTTAGTTAATTTTTATATTAATTTTAACTTCACATTTTATAATTATTTTGATTTGATTCCATATCCATACGTGTTGTTTAATTTATTTAAAATTTCATATTTGTTCAATTTAATACTTCATAAATTTTTTTTATCAAAATGGACATATTATCTTTTGGAATCTTTGACTTTCTTTTGCTTGGATAAGTAAACAATTAATGTGGTGTAAGTGTTCAGGAAAACATTGATTGCCTTGCCACCTCATTAATCTATGTATAATGTACGTATAATGATTTTTAATTTAGTTTTTTAATAAGTTCACTTTTTATTATTTTTACTTTTGTAAAAAAGTTAAATTTGATTAGTACTATGTATAATGTATATTATATACACATGCATATGTATATATATACACACGTATGTATGTATAAGTATAAGTTTATATGTACTAATATATATATATCATACTTCCTTTATTATAATTTAATATTTATTCAATTTAGTCCTTAAAATTATATTTGTATCTGCAATTGGCCTATACTTATTTATATTTTTTATTTACTTCAAACTATATAAATCACATAGTAAACCTCATTTCAAATTCTATAAATTATATCATAATATCCAAACCCTATAAACTTTTGTTCACCAACATTTTAAATGGATGAAATTTAGTCTATTTTTATATTAATTTCAACTTCACATTTTATAATCATTTCGATTTGATCCCTCATTCATGCGTGTAGTTTAATTTATTTAAGTTTTTGTTTGTAATTTCATGTTTATCCAAATCAGTACTTCAAAATATATTTTTGTCAAAACTGACCCATAATTATTTATATTTTTTTGTAATTTATTCTAAATTATGTACAATTACAAATTACAATTCAACGTTCGTGAGACATTAAAAGGAAAAAACAATTAACCCAAAAATGACCCGACATGACGTCAATCCGTATCCGGTAAGATCCAACATGAATTTTGTTTGTCCATGATGTGAATCGATCTGAATGAGATCTGACTGAAGTCCATCTGAACTAGAATTAACCTGGTATTTAACTGCTTAGGACCTGAACTGTTTTGACATGAACTAACATCGATTCGAAATGAAATTAATACGACCCAAACTCGAACTGAATCTGAAGTCAAATCAACCAGAAAATGACTCGAACCGATTTAACTCAAACCCGACTTGATCTGAGTTTACCCATTAAATTGACCTGACTCAACTTGTATCCGGTTTGACCTAACCTGACAGGAATCGACTGAGACCTGGATGATTACCTGATTTCACATACCTATTTGAGACATTTTTCCAATGTCATTAAGACCAAATGATAAATTAGTGTCCATAAAACCATTCAACAATCAAAATAAGAGTAGGGATGGTAAAAATACCTAAACCCGACGGGCACAACTCAACCTTATAGGGGTACGTATTTTTTTTAAAATTTTAGGGTTCAAAGTAGGGCAGGGCGGGTTAAATACTAAGTAGGCTCGGGGTGGGGCGAGGCCCAATTTATGGTGAAAAATCATCGACCCGACCTGACCCAACCCATATAAAATATATAATATATTTTTTTATAATGTTAAAATATATTATTTAATTATTGAAAATATAGTAAATTATTATAAAATATATTATTTTAATTATTTAAAATATTGATATATTCGGGTCAGGTCGGGGTCGGGTTTATAGTCTAAAAATCTGGGCGAGAGAAAACCTAAAACTTATAGAGGCGGGACGAAGTCGGGTAATAATAAAATATTTTTGGGTAGGGGTCGGGGCAACCAAAAACCCGACCTGACCCGACCCGTGTCCGTTCCTATATAAGAGTAAACTATACATATGACCACTTAACTATTGTTTCTTTTTTATTTTTACAATCGATTTTGAAATTATGTCAACAAAATCACTTAACTATTTTATTGTGTAAATCAAGCCACTAGTAGCAAATATTTGACAAAGATGTTGACGTGCCAATTAACAAAATTGGCATAGTTATACATTTTATCCTTGTTATTTATATATTCTATCAATTTAGTCATAATTTTAATTTAATTTAATAAATTTAATCTCCAATTAGATGATGACATATGTCACAATATGATTGAAAGGTATTTTCTTAAATTTAATTTTCACTCAATAAGACGGTTACATGTGACTCCACCGAATTGGATGGAAAACAACAGCAAGTAAGGAGGGGGGACTCAGACCCGAATCTTGTGCAACTGACCCAACACTTAAACTGCTAAGCTACACTAAGATAATTTTTAACTGCATCATTTCAAATATAACATACAGTAACTAATGGGAAATTTTAGATATATGCACTATCATGCATCAGTTTAGACAAGAAGCACCCCTGGAAATGGGCAAAGACATCCATTTTCAACATCTCAAACAGCGAATTAGAACTTGTTCAAGAAGTCATGTATATGTTTATTGACCTCATCAGGTTTTTCTTCGTGAACAAAGTGTGCTGCACCTTCCATAACCACCACTTCCTCCAAAAATGGAACATATCTCTTGAAACCTCCTTTGTGTATATAGTCCTTGGCGCCCGGAGCATTATAGGTCAGATCCTCGTCGCCGACGATGAACTTAACCGGCACTTTTACTTGGCTCCCAGTCCATGGTGCCGTAAGTTCCCAGTTTCTACAACACAGGGAAATTCAGAACAAAACTAAGGTATGCATTGATTAAATTTTAAGGGAAAGAAGACATATTTACGAGTTTATAGCTCGGTAATAGTTTAATCCTCCGGTGAAGCCTTTCTTCTCGTATTGGCTAGTGTAATATTTCAAATCTTCCTCGGATAACCATGAGGGCAAACTTATTGGAGTGTCTGGTTGTCCAAAATATTTTCCCTTTGGTATAACAAGAGGACCCGGTGTACGGTATGCCAAGAATCCCTTTAGAATTCTCTCATATCCTATCTCCTTGAACTCAGCCTCTATCACTCCAGGCTCCTGTAAAAATATTCATATTAAATCAGGGATGAACGTAAATTTTTATTTTATTGAAGATGAATTTATAAAATTATAAGAAATAAAAAAATAAATTTTCAATACAAAATAGAAAAAAATAATATATCTAAAATATATAAAAATTTAGAAATTTTAGGAGACAACTGCCCTAATCTGTTTTCCTTAATCCACTCATGTATTCTATATTTGTTTCTATCAAATTTTCCATATATAAAATATGATGCTTCGTAAACAGTGAACAAAATATAAACAATAGATAATTAGTCGGAAACAATCTTACTCACGTTCTTTCAAAAATAAAATAAAGGATAAGCTACATGTTTAGTATTTAAACTATCAGTTTTAGTCTGTTTTAGTATTTAAACTTTCAAAATTTTCAAAATCATACCTAAAGTTTAGTTTTTGTTTCATTTTAGTACCCTATCGTTAAAAACTTAACACATTTAGTACCTAGACTATTAGTTTTGGTCCGTTTTAGTACCTAACCTTCCAATTTTTTCAAAATCATACCTAACGTTTAGTTTTTGTTTCATTTTACTATCCCAACATTAAAAACTTAACGCGTTTAGTACATAAACTATCAAGTTTGGTCCATTTTAGTACCTATATTTTTAATTTTTTTTAAAACTTAACGTTAAGTTTTTAACGGATACTAAAGTGAAACAAAAACTAAACATTAAGTATGATTTTTGAAAAAAAAAAGTTTAGATGCTAATACATATTAAAATTGATAGTTTAAGTACTAAACACATAATTTACCCTAAAATTAAAATTGAGTCTTTTTTGCCATGAAACAGGGACTATAGATTAAATAATTTGTGCAGATCACAACAGTAGACCCAACATAAAAAAATGAATAAAGATTATACTTTGGAAAAAGTACATCCATAATCGAAGTATGAATGAAATATGATTAGTTTAATGCTTCATGCAAACTTCTAGATTTATGAGATCATAGAAAAGTCTGAAAAACCTATAATTTCGAACTTCATTGTCTTCCATAGATCAAAGGGTAATAATTAATTAATCAATTTAATTAAAATTTAATAGAAAACGGAAAAGAGAAATAAACGGAAAGTTATGTTGTATGGAGTCTAATTTAAATAAGAGAAAATCGACTCAGTGACCAAAAAAAAGTTATAATATACGATTTTAACCAACTTTTTTTGGATTTGCGAAAATGACCAACAAAATCGCAACGCGAAATAAAAATCGCAACGCGATTTAGAAAATCGCAACGTTGAAAAGAAAATCGCAACGGTCAAAAGAAAATCGCAACGCGATATTCCAAGAATCGCAATGCGATTAAGAGAATCGCAACGCGATCTTCCAAGAATCGCAATGCGATTCAGAAAATCGCAACGCGATTCCAAGAATCGCAACGCGATTAAGAAAATCGCAACGCGATTCCAAGAATCGCAACGCGATTAAGAAAATCGCAACGCGATTCCAAGAATCGCAACGCGATTCAGAAAATCGCAACGCGATTCAGAAAGAAAATCGCAACGCGATTAAGAAAATGGGTAAATTCTTTCAAAAGCTATTGTATTTGTTTCTTTCTTAAGAATTTTCTCTAAAAAGATAGTATCCGCGCGGACGTGTCGAAGACACGTATTACCACGACCACGACCACGACCACGACCACGACCACGACCACGACCACGACCACGACCACGACCACGACCACGACCCGAGACGAGACGAGACGGCGGCGGCGGCGCGCGAGAGTCCCCCTTGTTCTCTTTCACTCAACAAGGAAATGGGAAATCCAAGCCTTAAATACTCTTCCCAATAGTGTTTCCAATACTATGTGGGATTGAGCATTACTCAACACTTCAAAGAAAATATAGCAATTTTTGTAGCATGTTTCCCGCTTAATCCATATTTAAAAATATTAAAACATTTTATCATATTAAAACTATATGTATAAGTTTGAATTGAAATGTAGATATCTACAACTCTTTTAATTCTCTTGATAAAATGTTTTAATATTTTTAGATATGGATTAAGTGGGAAAATACTACAAAAATTGCTATATTTTCTTTGAAGTGTTGAGTAATGCTCAATCCCACATAGTATTGGAAACACTATTGGGAAGTGTATTTAAGGCTTGGATTTCCCATTTCCTTGTTGAGTGAAAGAGAACAAGGGGGACTCTCGCGCGCCGCCGCCGCCGTCTCGTCTCGTCTCGGGTCGTGGTCGTGGTCGTGGTCGTGGTCGTGGTCGTGGTCGTGGTCGTGGTCGTGGTCGTGGTCGTGGTCGTGGTCGTGGTCGTGGTCGTGGTCGTGGTCGTGGTCGTGGTCGTGGTAATACGTGTTCGTGGTCGTGGTCGTGGTAATACGTGTCTTCGACACGTCCGCGCGGATACTATCTTTTTAGAGAAAATTCTTAAGAAAGAAACAAATACAATAGCTTTTGAAAGAATTTACTCATTTTCTTAATCGCGTTGCGATTCTTGGAATCGCGTTGCGATTCTTGGAATCGCGTTGCGATTTTCTTAATCGCGTTGCGATTCTTGGAATCGCGTTGCGATTTTCTTAATCGCGTTGCGATTCTTGGAATCGCGTTGCGATTTTCTGAATCGCATTGCGATTCTTGGAAGATCGCGTTGCGATTCTCTTAATCGCATTGCGATTCTTGGAATATCGCGTTGCGATTTTCTTTTGACCGTTGCGATTTTCTTTTCAACGTTGCGATTTTCTAAATCGCGTTGCGATTTTTATTTCGCGTTGCGATTTTGTTGGTCATTTTCGCAAATCCAAAAAAAGTTGGTTAAAATCGTATATTATAACTTTTTTTTGGTCACTGAGGCGATTTTCTCTTTAAATAACAACAGCAAGAAATAGGCACAACTGGAAATTTATAAAAATTATATTATTTTCGGTAGAATGTAATCAGGGCCGGCCCTGGGCCAGGTAGGAGGGGCGGCTGCCCAGGGCCCACAAAATAAATTTTTTTTAGTACAATATTTTTTTTATTTTTCTGATAATAAATTAAAAAATTGTAAAATAAAATAGAAACATTTAATTTTCATTTTATTTTAGTATTTGTCGTTAAAAACTTAACTCGTTTAGTACCTAACTATCAGTTTTAGTTTGTTTTAGTATCTAAATTTTAAAAAAATAAATAAATAAAACTTAACGTTAAATTTTGAATGTGTACTAAAATGAAATAAAAAGACTAAAGTTTTTAATGACGAGTACTAAAATGAAATAAAAACTAAACTTTACGTATAGTTTTGAAAAAATTGAAAGCTTAGGTACTAAAACAGACCAAAACTGATAATTTAGGTACTAAACACGTAATTTACTCAATAAAATAATGGGGCCTATGAATTTATTAAGGTGTGAATTATCTTTATTGAATTTTATATTAACGTTAATAAATTATTCTTCCATAAAATTATAATTTAATATTTCTTTCTCAAAATTCAAAAATAAAAAAATAAAAAATTCAATTGAACTATTTAATTTTGGTCTTTCCAAATTCCCACTATCAATTCACCAAATCTCTTTACCGATTTTTCATATCAATAAAAAAATTATTAACATTATTTTTTTCAAAACTTAATGAGAAGAAAAAATTTAAGTATAATTAGCATGATTCTTTTCTTTTTCATGTTTCACGATTCATCTTAAAATTATTATTCTCATTTTTTAATTTATCATATTTCTCTCACACGTAAAGTCATAATTGTTTATTATCAATTATGGTGCTTGAATCATATTGAAGATTGTTCTTAAAATTTTAGGTAGACCACATTTTCAAATTCTTTCTTTTAATTTTATATATTTTCAAATTCTAGATAAGATCGAATATAATATTTTTTTTATAATTATTTGTATTATTAAATATATTTTTGACATCTTTTATATTGTAATGAATTACTATTTTTTAATTTAATAAAAAAATCTAATAAAAATTTTAAATTACATATTTCTTAATTTTTTTATATTAGGGGCTAATTTTTTATTTTCGGCCTGAACCTAAAAATAGTCATGACTGATCTTAAATGTAATTTAAAATGTTAATTTTTTAATATTTTTAGTTGAACTGAAAATATTACGATAAATGTAACATTTTCTGTTAGCCAACCAAAAATGTTATTAAAAATATGTGCTGTCAAAAATATTAAAAAAATTAACATTTTACGTTATTTTGTTAGCCAACCAAAAATGTTATTAAGAATACGTGCTACCAAAAAATATTAAAAAATTAACATTTTAATTTACGTCCATCGTTATTTAATTTTAAATTAGACTCTCTTCTCTTAGAAATTCCTAAACCAAGGGGAAAGAAACAAACGAAGCCAAAACCAAGAACCTGAAATCTGCAGACGTAGTAATCTTCACCAAAGACAGCTCTGAGAGTTTCAAGAGGTTTCCCATCTGGGTTCCTAGGATGGAACATGACACTCATGTTAACCAAAGCCTTAACCCTGTCTGGTCTAAACAGGCACAACCACCAAGCGATGAGCGCACCCCAGTCATGCCCGACAACAAAGACCTTGTCCTGGTCGCCGGAAACGACATCCAACAGAGCAATGAGATCCCCCACCACGTTCAGATACGTGTAGCTCTTGGCATCATCGGGTGCATCGGTTTCCCCATACCCACGCAGGTCAGGGGCCAGAGCTCTGTACCCGAGCGAGGCGAAAGCATTGATTTGATGACGCCACGAATACCAAAGCTCTGGGAACCCGTGGAGGAAAAGAATCACTGGGCCTTTCCCTTTCTCGGCAACGTGCATGTTTATGCCATTGGCTTTGATTATCCTGTGCTCTATGTTCCCCTCCACTTCTGGTCGGAAATTAGTGAACGTGGGGTTGACGGCAGTTGCGTTTACGATTGGCCTACAGAAAAATGCACGCTTTGTTGTGGAGAGGTTGGATTTGGCGTTAAAGCCTATAGAATGAGCGTAAAGATGCCTAAAACTATCTATTGCCTTGATCCATCTCATCTTTTGAACCAATGGAAGGTCGACCTAAGATCTATGCTTCTTCAGTTTAAAGACAGCCCCTAGGAACCTAAGATATATGATTCTTCGTTTTAAAGAGAGCCCTTAGGTTTAGGTGAGAACCGTGAAAGTAAACGCCTCTCGAGAAAAAAATAAAGGGATAAAAACAGTATTAACATACCACCAATTCATATCATTTAATGAGATGAAGTATTAGATTTTTTAAATAAGATTAATGATTTAAACTCTGACGTTTTTGAATGGATCACCCCATACTAATAAATATTGGATTGAATTTTGATGTTTAGGGCTATTCATGAACGGTTAATCGTATCATTTACGGTCGGTTAATGGTTACGATATTTTTTTTAACCGTAACCTAACCATTAAGAATCGGTTAACGTTAGTTTTAACACATACTTACACCGGAATAAGTATGTACATATCCCAAAAAGTATAACACTTAACACATATTTATACCGGATTAATTATGTGCATTTCTCAATATAATTATAAATTTAATTTATTAACGGTTAACCGTTGGTTAACTATTTATCAAAATTCGTAACCGTAACCTTAATTGTTAACCATCATTTTTAACAATTCGGTTAAACGAAATTGTTTAACAGTTCAGTTAATTAACCTATTAAATATAACAATTATACTGGTTAACTATTAGATTTTTTTTAAATACCCTATTGGTGGTTATCTTAAAATTGTAATTTCTCTCTACTAATAAAAAAAGATTAGTTAGAGAAATGGAGATACTTTTATATTTATAGGTCAAAGTTAACAACTTTAATTTATTTTATTTTATTTTAGTATCAACTTGTAAAAAAATAAGTACTAAATATTTTTTCATAAATAATCATTTAGTGAAATTTGGGTACTTTTATGAAATTTACCATTTTATTTTATTATAGCGTTTTTATAAAATTTTATTAGTCTTTGTACTTTTAATTTTTTTAATTTAATTATAAAAATGTTGAAAATAATGAAAATAGAATTGAAGTAAAGTCATTCACTATTACTGACAACTTTATTAAATTCAATTTCATTTGCCGACGATTTTACCTGTACTATAGAAACATCATTATTTTCATGATTAATCCATATCATTTCCAAATTACTAATTTTTTCTAACATCTATTTCCCCCAATAATATTATAATAGATTATAATTACTTGTGTTCATTCATAGTTTATAATTATATCTTCTAATAATATTATTTTTAAATTTCAAATTTATATTATCTCCTTAATAGTATAGATTTCTAACAATGTTAATGGTTTAAAGTATGATATCATATTAATAATAGTTAGTGGTGGAATACAAGAGGGACTAGTGGGCCATGACCCTCCAAAATTTAAAATTTTATAATTTAGACCTTTAAATTTTTTTAAAAATTTAATTTGACTCCTTCAAAAATTTTAGAAATTCAGATTTTACTTAAAAAATTTTAATGTTCTTAATTAATTCCTCTCCCATAATTTTAAAAATTCTCATTAAGCCTCTTAAAATTTAAAAAATTTTAGTTAGACCCTAATTTTTTATAATAAAATGTAAACTAAGTCCTTCAAAAATTTTAAATTAAACCTCTAAAATTTTTAAAGTTTTAAATTGACCCCCTCAAGCTCTACCATCAAGTTTCGCCATTAGTAATAATACATAGATTAAATTATATAAAGTTAAAATATATAAATCAAATTAGAAAAATACATATCTTAATTATTAAAATGCAATTGTAAATATATTTACGAATAAGAATAATGTTATCGACTATTATTTACATCTTGATTTAAGATGTGATTTTCTTCTTTATTTTGTGGCTTTACACAATTATAATAATATTAATTTAATTAAACTAGTTTACGTAGCTAAAAACACATGAAAAAAGCAGCCAACGTGATGCATGAAAAGGAAAAAAGAAAGCTCAAAAGGACGGTCCAATAATTGTGTGACTTTAAAGTAGAGGACATATAACTTAACAGACTAACAGCAAAGCAATGAGTTTATATTCAAATAAGTTATATCAAAGACTGGAAAAGTATAAAAGCAAACATGAAGAATACTGCTTCCCATTAACAAAAGAAAAAAAAATACGATTTCAATTTGTCTTCTGTTAATAACATAGTTGTCATCTTTCAACAGTATCGTCCTCAAAGATGTGTAGATATTCTGTTACTTCTTAAAATAAAATTCTTAAAATATTTTATAATAAAAATTAATTTATCAAATTTAAAATTACGAGAGATCTATGAGATCATTTTAGCAAAATTCATTATAGAAAATGATTAAAGATATTATCAAAATATTTTTTTGTAATTTTTCCGCCACTTTCTTGAGAACTAAATGGAAAGTTTGTTTTACTTTCGAACAAAAATGTCAATAGAGCACAAAAATTAAATATGGATGGGCTTAAATGACATTCATGCCTCCAAATTTTTAGGCCATGTGACATGTCACAAGCCACATTTACACATGAACGTACTCATCTATCAATTTTGATTATTATTAAATATAATTAAATTCATAATTAGAATAAATTTTAAATCAAAATAAAATTTAAAAGCAACACTCGCATATTTTACACAAAATAAAAAATAAACCTAAATATTTGAAATTACATAACATCGACCTTTACTAATTTTATCAGAGTTTCATAGTTTAATAGTACTTTGTTTAAAACCTCGATTATGTGTCATGGTAAATATTCTTTGATTGTGATACACGTTTTATTAGATTACGTTGTAGGCAAGGAATATATGATAAGATGTCTTTATTTGGACCATCATACCATGCCTTTACAAGTTAAGAATTATGGATGTCATTTATTAGTGGAATATTTAACTTTTTAACTTTTGAAATTAAGAGTCAAAACTCTAATAATATATAGTATTTAATAGTTGTAAACTCATAGAACGTAGAACACATCAAGCGATTTCACTACTAAAAGAAAATGTTGTTTTTTCCCTCTAAAAGTCTTAAGTTTAAGTAGTTGTATTTGTAGGGTATGTGTAGATTGACATTTAGTTAAAAAATTTCTAAACAAATATTACTTTATAATCACCTCATATTATTTTAAAAAACATATAATGTGAGAATGATATATTTAAAATATCACATCATAAATAATATAAGTTTATAACATGTTTTATTTTTCTAATATGAGAAAATATAAATGTTTATGTTTAAGAGGAAACTTTATAACGTATATGTCTAAATAGATATAAATAATACAGTTTAAAAGATAAACATCATAATTCCACTACATGTCACAATTTTCCACCCCACAAACACAAAAAGAAGTTCGAGGATTTATGGGGAGATTAAATTACATTGCTCAGTTTATCTCACAATTTACCGAGAAATGTGACCCCATTTTTTTCCTTCTCCACAAAAATAACTCAGATGTATGGAGTGATGATTGTCAAGAAACTTTTGAAATAGTCAAACGATATTTGTCGAATACTCCAATCTTAGTGCATCTATTTCAGGAAAACCATTAACTCTCTACTTGTCAGTCTTTGATAACTCGATGGGGGTGTGTACTAGGGCAGCACGACCAAACTGAGAAGAAATAGAGAGTAATTTACTATCTCAACAGAAAGTTTACTGAGTGTGAAGCAAGGTACTCATCGATCGACAAGTTGTGCTATGCTTTGGTTTGGGCTACTCGGAGGCTCATGCAATATATGTTATATCACACCATTTGGTTATCTCCAAACTTGACCCTTTGAAATATCTGATGGGTGTACCTACTCTATCTGGAAGATTGACTCGCTGACAGATTCTATTGTCAGAGTTTGACATCCAATATGTGAGCCAAAAAAGCAGTTAATGGGAATGCTATAACATATTTTTATTACAAGCAGGGCTTCTAAAGAATATGAGCCACTGAGTTTTGATTTCCCAGATGAAGACTTAATGGCTATTTTGGTACAAGAAATGATTACTTCCAGCAGTGAACATTGAAAATTGAACTTTGATGGTGCTTCAAATGCCTTGGGGCATGGAATTGGAGCAATTATGGTCTCACCTAGTGGAGAACAATATCCTTTCACCAGTCGATTGAATTTGGAGTGTACAAACAACATGGCTGAATATGAAGCTTGTATCTTGGGTCTTAGAGCCGCCATTGAGCGCAAGGTAAAGACACTCAAAGTATACGGGGATTTAGCTCTAGTAATTTATCAACTCAGGGGTGAGTGGGAAACAAAAGATCCCAAACTAGTGGAATATCGTAAATTGGTCATGAAGCTTATCGAAGAATTTGAAGAAGTGGCATTCAAATACCTCCTCAGAGAAGAAAATCAAATAGAAGATGCTCTAGTCACTTTGACATCCGCCTTCAAAGTGAATGAACAGTCAAACATGATGCCCATTGAGATGCAGGCTTATAAGTATCTGGCCCATTGCTAAAGAAATTTCCATTTGCTCTGTTTGCTTATCGAACTTCAGTGCGGACGTCAACTGGGGCAACTCCATTTTCTTTAGCCTATGGGATGGAAGCCGTATTACCCATTTAGGTAGAAATTCCCTCACTTCGAGTTTTGTCAGAAATAAAGCTAGATGAGGCAGAATGGTTACAAGCCAGATATGACCAATTGAATTTGATCAAAGAAAAGAGATTGAAAGCCATTTTTCATGGTCATATATACCAGAGGCGCATGATACGAGTACACGATAAGAAAGTTTGGCCCCAAGAGTTTTACGAGGGAGACCTGGTGCTTAGAAGGATCCTATCTATTTAAAAGGATTTTTGAGGAAAATAAATGCCAAATTGGGAAGGACCTTATATTATGAAGAAAACCTTTTCTGGAGAAGCCTTGATCCCCACCGAGATGGATGGACCAGAGTTACCTAACCCTGTGAACTCCGACGCTGTCAAGAGATATTTTTCCTGTAAAAAGAGAGAAAAAAATAAAATAAGAAAAAAAAAGAAATAAGAAGAAAAGAAAAAAGAAAAAAATAAATAAAAGAGGGGTTCACGATAAAAATCCGTAAAGTAATTCTTGAAACCAAATGAGGCATCAAGTTGAAAACCCGTAAAGCGCGGCTTGAGTCTTGTTTAAATTCAAGATTCATACATGGTAGAGGTCTTGAATTGACAGTGAAATCTTTGGGTTTAATCAGTAACGTCAAATGAAGGTTAGAGTCGGGACTGAAGACTGAATAGGTCATGTTTTAAACAACTAGAAAAGAAATTGAATGCAGATGAGATTTAGTTCCGATTTTTGGCATTTAGTATCTGGAGATTTGGTAATCTAGAGGGAACTTCACACCCTTAAACCTTGTCACAATTCTCAAGATCCCTTCAATAGAAGCTATAATTAAGTCAATCCACAGCGTGCCGGTTCAAAAGCATCCTTACTATTAATGTCTGGGGCACCTACTTTATTCTCTTTTATTCTTTCCAGTTGAAAGTTTGTCATGTATTTACCCAAAATCTCTTTACACTTATATAAATAAAATAAAAAATTTCTTTTTCTAGTTGACATTCTTTTGCAAGCATCTTAAATTGAAATTAAATACATGTAGTTTAACTTGAAAAGTATTAGATCATCGTGTATTATTATGCAAAAAATTCTAGAAAAGCGCAGGTGTTCTGAAGCTAACAATGGTTTTAGCATGAGGCTTGCATAATGATGGGCTATAGGAAATTAAAACCTTGGGGTACATAGAAAGTTTCAGCAGGTTGGGGATAATCCAAGACGCCTGTCACTGATCAAGTAGCTGGTCATGAATATTGTTCGGTTTCAAGAAGGAAGTCAACGAAGGTCATGTCCAACCAAAGAGTATTTGATCAAGATTGTCAACTGCAGTGAACCGGTTGTGATTTCTACACCCATGATTAGACCGAGTCACAAAACGACCAACGAAAGAGAGTTCTCATTCGAAAAAATACACTAAATTTGCATTACTGCACACAATTTAGGCATAAATAGGATCATGACATTCATAAAATGCATGATGATGATAAATGAAATTGAGAACTTACATTTCTTCTAAAAGAAAGCTGAAGGTTGAAGATGTTGAAACCTCAAGATAAGAGTAACTAATTCAAAGTCTCAAAAAGGGAGAGGTTCAAATGATACTTGAGTTAAGGCATATTCCCATAGTTGGTGGCTGCGAGACAAGTTTTCACAAGAGAAATAGATTTTCAAAGATTATTCCAGAGTCTAAACCTTCGGGCATGATGTTTCAAATTCTCAAATATACGCTAACAATTGGTAATGTATAATTTTCAGATTCGATCTTATTAAAGTCAAAATAAGTGGATCGATCCCGGTTCAGTTGTTCCTAAAGAGTGGTGGAGTGAACCAAATTCCTTTAAAAGATTTGGTTTTCTATAAAGATTAGTGGAACATATCATCTTTTTTCTCAGATTTGGTCTACCTGAATAACAACAAAGCAAATCAAGTTCGATTCAATCTTCCGTGAAGAGTAGCAAAGTGGATCAAAACTTTTCGAGTTTGATCTACCCTAAAGAGTAGTGGAGCAGATCCTCATTCCTTTTTGGTCTCCCTGAGCAGTGAAACAATCAAGTTCGATTCAATATTCCCTGAAGAGCAACGAAGTAGATCAAAACTTTTCGAGTCTGATCTCCCCTAAAGAGTAGTGGAGCATATCCTCATTCCCTTTTGGTTATCATAAAGAGCAATAAAGCAAATCAAGTTCGATTTAATCTTCCCTGAAGAACAGCGAAGTGAATTAAATTTTTTCGGGATTTGATTACCTGAAAAAGTGGAGCAGATCAAATCGGACTTACCCTGAAGTGGCAGTAAAGTGGATTAACCTTTCTATTTCCTCATAACCGAACAAATATGATAATCCTTTGATATTTGTTCTTTTCTCATTGCACGAAAATGAGAAAAGAGGGGCAATTATAGATACTCATTTTGTTTAGGGGTTTCATTCGAATTTCATTTGGGTTTATATATTATATAATTATAGTGTATATATACGTATGTGCTTAATTATATATAGGCTACTTATTAATAATCATTTATATTAGTTATGCGTGGTTGCATGTATATATATTATGGATGTATGTGATTGTTATACGTATGAATATATATATATATATATATTATTAAATAAGAAAGTCGAATATGCATATATAAATATTATTAGACTATTGTCTATTAATTTTACAAGCCCAAAAATTAATTACATTGAAACCCAGACCAATCATATGGGAGAAGTGGCCCAAGTGACAGTCAAAGCTCAACCCATCAACTATAAGCTCGTTCATACAAAACTTAGCCAAGCCCAAAACCTTATTCGGCCCAATAGTGAATAAGGGTTTGGAAAACCTAATCTCCCACAACATCAGAAGAAGTCGTCATCGTCGATAGTATGTCATCTGACATTTAACCTTCCCCGTCGGCTCCACGCACCCAAGATGATCTACTTGTACGTGCCCTCTCGTTGGTTCCCCATGCTTACTGTCATCACCAAGTGCGTAATTCTCGCTGGTCACAAACTAGAACATGGGTGCCTAAGGGTTAAAATTTTTACCCCTTTATTCTACTGCCATCATCGTCGTCCCTGTCAGACAGTGTTCTCGTCATTTTTCCTCCTCTCGTCATGCCTGAAAAGAAAAAAATGGAAAAGTAAAACTTTTCCTTCTGTACCATCTAGGGCTGTAAATGAGATGAGACAGATCGTGAGCTACTCGAGATCGACTCGATCTTGGCTCGATAAATACTCGGATCGAATGGACTCGACTCGAGCTCGAACTCGACTCGAGTTCTTAACGAGCCGAAACGAGCTACTCGATACTCGACTCGAAAAGCTCGTCAACAGCTCGAAAAAATGTTATATTATAATTTTAGATTTTTTTAAAATTACATTATTAAAAATATATTAAAAATACATTATTGATTAATAAAAATTCTTGAATGAAAATGGTTAAAAATTATTTTTGAATAAATTTTCTTATATTTATTTTAAATTAATAAAAAAATTATTTATCTAATGACAAATATTTAATATATTTCTAATGATAATATTTGTAATAACTAATTTTTAAAATTGTTGTTATATTTTGAGGTTTCGAGTTCAAATATCATAAATATCAAGGGTTTGAGCATTTAATATTAAGATATTATATTGTACTTACATCATAACTAATTTTTTATTTGATAATAAATATAATATAATAAAAAATATGATTCAATTTAAATATTAATAATTTAAAAAATATCAAAACAAGTATACTCTCTCTCCTTTCACTAAGTCATCTCATTCCTTCTAATTATGTTATAAGGTTTAGACTTTAGAGTTTATGTGTTATGATTTAAGATTTAGAGTTTAGGGTTTATGGTTTAGAGTTTTTGTGATAGGATTTAAGGTTTATAGTTTAAGGTTTAGGTTTAGGTATTAGGTATTAGGGGTTAGGGTATAGGGTTTATGTTATATGATTTAAGGTTTATAGTTTATGGTTTTAGGGTTTATGTGTTAGGGTTTAGAGTTTAGAGTTTATGTGATATGATTTAAGGTTTAGAGTTTAGGGTTTAGGGTTTATGTGTTAGGGTTAGTGTTTAAGGTTTAGATTTAAGTTTGCGCATGAAGGTAACATACAAATTATGAAAAAGATGTTATGTGACTCCTAAATAAATCATTCACATACTTATACATAAACATATCAACATGAAAAATAAATATACACAACTAATTAAAGAAAACAATCCTAAACAGAGACTAAAATAAATATACAAAATTGGAATTAAACCAATGACTTAAATACAAAATGCGCATAAACTATAGGGTCTTATGTGCAGTTGATCCTATTCGGTTTAAGCTAAAATAATTTGAAAAATAACATAAATGACACCTGAACATTTAAAACAAATAAGAAAATTTAAACAAATGTGATTGAAATACAAAAATTAAAATATAACATACCAAACTATAAATTTATTAAACATGCATATACATATTAAACTAATGACTAAATTTAAATAAACGTAAAATTTAACATACAAATCATGAATTAAATTATGGATTTACAAAATGGTGCTCAAGTTTGGGGGATTATAAATTAATTTACCAAAATAATTAATATGAAACCTAAATTTAACTAAACCTAAACTAAACTCACGCACACAAAATACCAAACACAGCCGCACAACCCCTTTATTCTCCAACAGCCTCTCTCGGTAGCTCTCTCAATCTCATCTCTCCCTCTCACGCACACACGGCGCCACTCTCAACATGATGGTCCTCTTATTCTCCGGCGAAGACCCTAATACAATAGGGTAAACCAGATCAAAAACTTCTACAAAAGCAAAACCCCATGGTTGGGCACTAGGAAAGCTCATGGAGATGGGTTCGGGCTCTTTGACTGAGTCAGGTGGTTCTGCCACCAACTCTTCCGCCGAGTCACTCAACGAATTCAACACCGGGAAAAAGATCTCCTTTTTCGCGGCCGCATCCACCACTGCAATCATGGGGACATCGTCCAAGTCCGGTGAAGGGTCTTCAAGCTCATCCGGGTCGGGTAGGAAGGGCAGGGCTAGTGGAATGGTGCAAGGGGCTTAGCCTCCAAGGTGTCAAGTAGAAGGGTGTAAAGTGGATCTAAGCGATGCTAAGGCTTACTCTCTTCTGTCAAATCGAACATGGGGCTCTAGAAACTAGGCCTCAAGTTTTCGGGGTAAGTGGTGTGATAAGCGAAGGGTCCTCTGCGGCTCAACCAACACCTCATGGTGTGATTGTGAACCCTTATTCAAATGCCTCTTGGGTTATTATATTGTATCATATCATTTAAAGCTCTGGGTTGCTAAAGTTATTCCTGCCACAGGTCTTTTGTTCACTGGATTGAATTTGTGAAACATTTTTATGATCCTTAGAATCGTGTCTTTGCAGAGAGATTGAATCTTAAAACAACTAATGAGTACAACTATCTAGGCCAGAGTGAGTGCTTGGTGATTAATGGTGTTAATGATGCTCAGAAATTCCAAAAGCTTACGGTAAATTCAAAAGACTATATTTAATGTACCATCAATAATGTAGCAATTTTTTTAACCGCTTAATTTGTCTCATTGGCCTTTAAGCAATATTTTCTGCATTTTTGCAGGAAGCCATGAACATTGTTCAAATTTGCAAAGAAGAGCAAGAGCAAGCATTTGCAATGCTTGCTGTAGTTTTATGGTTGGGAAATATATCATTTCAAGTAATTGACAAAGAAAATCATGTGGAGGCATCTGCCGATGAAGGTATGTGTGCTCTGAAGACCTCATCATCCATGATTTTCGTCATCATCATTTGTCTTATGCCTGCTAAAATAACTTGTTTTGTTGAATCTGTTTTAAGTTAAATCTTTAGTTAGCATTTGTTTTTCATGTAAGTGCTTGTTGTTATTATGTTGTCTTTATAAGATGCTTATTTATATGAGATCTTATTCCTTGTTGCAGCTTTAACCAGTGCTACCAGCCTGATGGGTTTTGCTCCAGATGAACTAATGCAAGCTGTATCTACGCATAGAATCCGAGTTGGCAGGGATATTATTTGTAAAAAATTGACATTGCAACAGGTTTGTGCAGTTTTTGTTAACGCAACTATTCTTTCTCAATCCTCTCAAAAGTCACTTTCTATATTTGCTGTTATGCGTGCATTGACATCATGATAATCATTAGTTAATTTGTAATATAGGCACAGTTGGCACAGTTGTTTGCTCTTGGTGGATGCATTGGTTTCGGTGGATGGCCGACCAGCATGGGTCTTCCTCAGTGGGTTCACGTGGGTGGTGCACTGTCTCGGGCTTCCTCCTGGTGGATTTGCACCATATGTTAATAGAATAAACATGAGTAATAACAATAGTAATAATTATTATAAAAAAACTTCAAAGCTTATATTAATTATCCTAAATTTCTTGTAATTGTATTTTTATTTTTTTAGATTTTTTATATTTCATACATTCATATTATAATGTATTGGTGATGGTTGATTAAAGGGAAAATTATTTATATATTTTAAATGTTATATAATATTTTTGTAGGTTCGAGTTCGAGCTTGAATCGAGTTCGAGCTTGAATCGAGTTCGAGCTTGAATCGAGCTCGAGCTTGAATCGAGCTCGAGCTTGAATCGAGCTCAAATTCAAGTTTGAGTTCGAGCTTGAATCGAGCTCAAAATCGAGCTTCAATCGAGCTAGAGTCTCGAGCTTCAATCGAGTTCTTGAATTTTTTTAGTTCGAGCCTTTTCGAGTTCGATTCGAGTTTCAATATTATCTTTCGAGTTCGAGTCGAGCTTAAAAATTTTAGGCTCGCGAGTTTTCGAGTCGAGTCGAGCCTACATTTAAAGTTTTCGAGTCAAGCTCGGCAATACTCGAGCTCGACTCGGCTCGTTTACACCCCTAGTACCATCAACCCATATATATTAGCAACATCAATAAACAAAAGGGGGATACCCAAGAGATCTGGAAAAAAAGAGAAAAATCAAATACACATAAGGAAAACTTTTGGAGAAGAGAAAACTGAAAAAAAGAAAGAAAATACAAAGGGAGAGAAGAGAAGCTTACCGTACTTCATCGCTCACGATAAGCCAAAAGTTGCCGGAAAATCGTTTCCCTGAAGGTTAATCTCTAGATCTAGGACGATCGATGAACTTCTAGAATTGAAAGGGCTCGGATTTAGGTTTAGGAAGAGGAAGGGATCCTTTTTAGGCTTTAGTATGAATAATGGCCACATCATACGGTCGTTAGAGGTGTTTGCTCTCTCAGTGAAGGGTAGAGAGAAGAGAAGGCAGAGGAAATTTCTTTCCTCTTTATGCAAAAAACAAAATGAGAGAATGGGAAAGTAGGCCGTTTATGGCCTTGATATGAGGCTTATATATCAAGGGCCATCTGATGACGTTTTGGGGAGGGAAGGGTGTGCGTTTTAGTGCGTGGGTAAACCTTTTCCGAATCCTTCAAACTTTGTAACCTTTCGGTTTAGTAACTAAATGAAGTTTCGTTTCTTTTTATTTCAAGCATGTTAATTTATCTGTATTATATTTTAGTCCCTTATCCTTGTTTTACCACTATTTTCTTTTATTTTACATTATGCACTTTATTTTTAATAATATCCATCTTAGCCCCATGATGTTTAGGGCTTATTTTCATTTTTAGTCCTTATATCACAAGATTTTTACATACTAATACTTGTTCTTTACCATACTTGTCTTTAGGACCTCAAAGTTATCATTTTCAATCCCCGTTTTTTTAAGGTTTATTTTGCCATATTTGATTTTTACATCATATGTATATACATGCTAGGCATAATATTTTTATATGCTGCGTAATATACATATATATCTATAGCATTTTTAATACATATTATTTGTATAGTTTATAATTTTAATAATATATGTTTATAATATTAAATATCAATTTTGAAAGTAGATACACTTTTTTATTAAGGTAATATTATTTTGTAAGGAGAATCCATGAAAACATGCCTTAACTGACTAGGAGTGTGCTTCCAAGGGTTGCTTGTACTAAATGATATTCCTTTTTGCATTCAAATATTTTTAGTATATTAAATATATGTATTTTTATTTAAAAATGGGTAATAATCTTTTGTATGGATAACCCATAAAATCGCGCCTTAACTTACAAGGAGTATGTTTTGGAGGATTGCCAGTACGAGATAATACCCTTTTTAAATTTTTTATAGGATCATTATTTAAATGTATATTCTAATTTGCAAATGTCAATATTCAGATGACATATAATCGTTTAGGCACCGATTTTGGGCATTGTGGGGTGTTAATCCTTCCCCACGCGTAATCGACTCCTGAACCCTTTTCAAAATGAGTTTCAGGTTAAACACATATCACTTTTTATCTTTTAAAATTATTTTTCTTAAAATTATTTTAAAGGATATTTTTTAGGTATTCGACCTACCTAATCCAATGGTCGATGGAGACTCCAAATTTATTTATTTTCACATTTATTTTAAAACCCAATATTTTTAAATTAAGTTGGATCGCTCCTCGCCATAACCCTAAAAAGCTTAAGAACTATTCCGACATTAGTAAGAGACTCAAACAACATGAGAATAATATTGAGCATATGACTAACATGAATGTTTGGAGTGAATTAAGAGTGAGTTAAAAATTAATCAAACATGATAAAGATTATGGTAAGGAATTTCAAAGTAGAAAGAACATTGGAGACAAATTTTAATAAGAATAATTTGTGTTGTTAAATGTCTTGCGAAAAATAATTTAATTTTAGGATCTAGTGAGAAAATTTACAATGATAGTAATGTAAATTTTTTGAGTTTAATTAAAATGATTGCTGAATTTGAAATGTAAGACTATATTAGACGTATTCAAAATGAAAATATTCATAATCATTATATTGTTCTTAAAATTCTAAATGAACTAATCTCTCTCTTGACCCATAGTATTAGAACTTATATTCTAAAGATCATCCAGAAGGTAAAGTATTTCTCTGTTATTCTTAATTGTACCCTTGTATGCCGTCAAGAACAAATGAATTTGATAGTGTGATTACTAAATATGCCAAGCAACAAAATAAAAGTAGAGGAATAATTAGAATTCTTGAAAGTGGATGATACATCTAGATCGAGACTTTTTAATGAAGTAGTAAATACATTGCAATCTCTTGAGTTGAATGTTGATGATGTGAGAGACCAAGGATATGATAATAGTTCTAATATGAAAGAAAAATACCAAAGTGTTCAAAAGAAATTGCAAAAAATAAATGCTAGAGCTATATACAAGTCATGCGCTTGTCATAATCTTAATCTTTCTCTTTCTGATATGGCACATTCTAGTGTTAAAGTTCATTTTTTGGGATTGCGCAACATATATATTCATTGTTTGCAAGTTCTAAGGTGAAATTTTTTATATGATATTATTCTGGAAATTGTGAAATCTTTATCTAATATTCAATGGAAAAGTCAAATTAAAAGTGTCATTACTATTAGATGTCATGCTCCTAAAATAAAGTTAGCTTTGTTACAATTATATAAATCTTATGGTAATAATGCTAAAGCATAAGATTTGGTTAATTTCCTTCAAAGTTTTGAATTCTTACTTGGAATGATTATCTTATCTTGTATGATATTCTATTTTCTATGAACATGGTGAGTGAAAAATTGAAATCTAAATCAATGTTCATTAAAACTACTATAAAGGAGAGGGAAGATGTAATGTAATATTTTGACAACTATAGAAATGAGGGATTTGAAGCTAGTATAAATATTTCCAAAAGTCTTGCATTGGATATGAACATAGAGCCAACTTTTTTGATTAAGCATCATGTTTTAGGAAAAGACAATTTGATGAGAATGACCATGATAAAGAAATGCAATTACCAGAGGAGACTTTTAGAGTTAATTATTTTTTGGTTGTTGTTGATATGTCGATTGCTTATTTGAAAGATATATTTGAATTGTTAAAGATTTTCGAAAATATTTTTAGATTTTAATTGATTCTATAAGGATGAAGTCATTAGATGATGATAAATTAAGAGAGCATTGTGATAATTTTAAGATTATTTTTTCTTATAATAATTTGTCGGATGTTGATGCAGATAACTTTTTTTTCTTCTGAAATGATAATATTGCAATTAACTTTTCTAAATGTGTTCATGTTAGGGCTTAAATTCTTTAGTTTATTATAGTTGCAGTTGTTATCCTAATTTTTTAATTGATCACCGAATCCCATTGATAATGTGTATGACAGTAAAAAGAATCGAAATTAGGATAGGACAAAAAAATGAAACATTGAAACACATATTTGCTTAGGGCGTTTATCCCGAAAAATCACCTTTTCCATTTAATATTCTCGATCAGGTACCGTTCAAACTATATTTCCCGATCTAACACCCTTTGCAGGAAGGCGTGCCCCCTGCACCGTGCTTTACGCCATGTGGTCGAGGGCGCGCCTTACCAAATGTGTAAAAAACCTGAGTGCTAATTTTGTAAATATTTTTAAACGGGTGCCAAATACGTCATTAATTTTATTATGGTGATAATTGTGTAAAAACGTCAATATTTTGAATTGTACAGACACCCCCACACGGCACGGTTCCAGGTTGTGAACTGGCTGGGGTCTTGTCACAAGTTAATGAAGTGGGCAATGTGTATAGTGGTTGAGTTTATTAGTATTTTAGTGTCACAAGTTTATTTTTTATAATAATAATTTTTTTATAATTTTAAAAATTATAAGTTTCATATATTTTGAAAAAAATATTTTTCTTTTAAAATTAATTGTTTAAAAATATAAAAATATTAAAATAAACTTTTAATTACAATTAAGGGATTAAATGAATTATTATTCGTTAATTTTTATTTTTTAACAACATGTAATAATGCTTATTCATTTTTAATAAAATTATTTTTATTTTTGCATTAAAATTACACAATACGTATAATCTAGTATAGGAAAACTTTGAGGGTAAGTATTTTAAAATATGAATAATTTTATAAAAGTTTTATAATTAGTATTTCTTTTACAAAATGATGATGATGATGATAATAATAAATATTTTAAAATTTTAAAATTATAAATTTCATATATTTTTGAAAAAATTATTATCTTTTAAAATTAATTGTTTAAAAATATAAAAATATTAAAATAAACTTTTAATTACAATTGAGGGATCAAATGAATTATTATTTATTAATTTTTAATTTTTAACAACAATTAATAATGTTTATTCATTTTTAATAAAATTATTTAATTTTTTGCATTAAAATTACACAGTACATATGATCTAGTACATAAAAACTTTGAGGGTAAGTATTTTAAAATATAAATAATTTTATAAAAGTTTTATAACTAGTATTTC